CCTGGTGCACTGGGAAGACCCAGAGGGATCGGGTGGAGAGGGAGGTGGGAGGGGGGATCGGGATGGGGAATACATGTAAATCCATGGCTAATTCATTTCAATGTATGACTGCAATGATGTAAAGTAATTAGCCTCCAACTAATAAAAATAAATGAAAAGAAAAAAAATAAAATAAAAGATGGTACAAATAAACTTATTTACAGAACAGAAATAGAGTCATAGATGTAAAAAACAAGATTTTATGGTTACTGGGGGAAAATGGTGGAAGGGATAAATTGGGAGATTGGAATTGACATATATACACTACTGTATATAAAATGCCTTCCCTGGTAGCTGAGCAGTAAAGAATCTACCTGCCAGTATAGGAGACAGACTCAATCCCTGGGTCGGGAAGGTCCTCTGGAGAAGGAAATGGCAATGCACTCCAGTATTCTTGCCTGGGAAATCCCATAGACAGCGGAGCCTGGCAGGCTACAGTCCCATGACTATAGACACGGAAGAGTCAGACACAACTTAGCAATAAAACAGCACCACGTATATTAACGGGTAACTAATGAGGACCTACTGTGTAGCACAGGGAACTCAATACTGTGTAATTACCCATGTGGGAGTAGAATCTAAGACAGGGTGGATGTGTGTATAATTGATTCACTTTGCTGAATAGCAGAAACTAACCCAACATTGTAAATCAACTCCAAAAATATATATATATTTTTAAGTTGCAGTGAGCTGTAGGGCAAGTGGACATGTGTAATCTTCATTCTCGGACATCCTCTACACTGCAGCCCCTGTCTGGGAACCTCTGTTTCTGATTTCATTTCCAACACGTGTGGTCCCCGCTGTTAACCTAGGCAGTTCACTTAAAACCCAACAGATCATTGATTAAAATGGTCTTAAGCTCTGAAACCCTCTTTTCTATCATTTCTTCCTAGTGGTCTGAATTTTGCCTTCTAAATCTAAGGCCACTAAAGCTAAACCATCTTCCATATTTAATTGTAAACACTTGGAGGCTGTGGTTATATGATTTCTAGGTGTACGTCTCTGATTCCTTGGCTGTATCTTCCTTCTTATGGAAAACACAGACTCACATAGGCTTCAGTTAAAAACTTGTGAATAGTTTTTAAAAAGGAAATGATTGGGAGGATATGGTTTTATATGTTGAGTGCCACATTTGTTTCTTTGCCAAAGTAATGGGAAATGTCACTTTTTATGTAATGAGAGGGGTGAGCTGTCTTTCTAAAGATGGAGAAATCTTCAAAGGCAAAATCTGGATGTTTCTTTTCTCTTTCCAGCCAGGAAATCCAGCAGGGTTTGGCGCATCTGGATGGAGCGCTCGATTTGGGAGCACATGCAGACTTTCTGCAATTCAGGAACCAGGGGCATTTTTCATTTTTGTTTTCCCTGTTATTTATTTTCTTCACCTCAGGTTTTTGAAAACCAGAAACAGATGGACTAATCCAAGCTCCTCAGAGCAGACGGCGTCTCAAGCTCCCTGCGTTGAGGAACGGAGCTCCCCTGCAGAGAGCTGCAGCCGTGGAATAATTGACTCCAGCTCTGCCGTGGAAAGAACACCCTGAGAACTTTAAACCATTAGCCTTTCCACTGGCCCCATGGTCAACAACTGGTGGGAAGATGTGTCCTCGTCTGATCCTTGGGGTCACACGCATCACCCAGCTGCCAGACACTGGGTATCCATGGTAAGAAGCCAAGCCCACAGACATACGCAAAAATGGTCAGGAGAGACAGAATGGATGGGCTTGATAAATGAATACCTCGGCCTCAGCCATTTGGGGGAAATTAGAAAGGAAGGAAAATGTTGGATGGAGGAACAATGTGTGGAGGATAAAACTTATTTTAATACAGCCTTGCTGCTCTATGGCTCTGTCTTTACATCCTGCTTTTGCTCTTTCCTTCCCTCCAATAATAACCCAATTAAAACAAAGCTGATTTTACACAAAGGAATAATGGTCCATGTGTAAAACCCCATTACTTCCCCCTTACATGATGCCATTGTTAAAGAAGATTTGGATGGAACACAGAAATCAGTCTGCCGCTGGGTATGGGGAGGTGGTTTTGCCAAAAGAGCTTAAAGGCTCTCCTGTCTTACCGCAGAGGCAGCATCCTGTTTTTCCAGTTTAGCTGAGGTGATGTTAGTGTCGTCTCTTTTATAGATAAAATAAGGCACAGAGAAATGAATGGTGTGTCTAAACACTGGACAGAGATAAAGCTGGATTATAGAATCTTTAGACTCTGCGTTCCCAGCTCAAATCTTGGACAAATATCTTATGGCTGTTATCAACAAGAGATTTATGTTCAATTGTGAATAACAAGAATCATACACAAAAGAATATCAAAAAGCAGCTTAAAACAACTAGGGATTTTATTTTTCCCACAAAGTCAGGTGGAGGTGTGCTAGCAAGTACCAGATCAATGAATCATTAGGACTTAGTTAGATGTGAGGTTCCTGAAATTCTACTCACCTTTTTTTATGGACACTTGATGGCTGCATAGTCGCTGCTCCAAATGTACCTGGTTCCAGGTATGAAGGAAGGAATGGCAAGAATCACGAGGACACTGCAAGCTGGGGCTGCTCCTTCAATCTGTCTTTGAAGTCATATCTTATGATTTCTGCTTACATCCCTGGAGCCAGAACTGCGTCCCTTGGCCATGACCAGTTTCCATGGAGGCTGAGAAAGTATTTTTTAAAAATCAGGCCCAGTGGCTTAGTCGTGTCCAGTTCTTTCCCATGAACTGTCTATGGACTGTAGCCCTCCAGGCTCTTCTGTCCATGGGATTTCCCAGGCAAGAATGCTGGAGTGGGTTGCCATCTCCTCCTCCAATCCCCTCCCCAAAACTGTGGGTTTAGTGGGTATGTGGCGACACTAACACCACGGGTAAGGCAGGGCAGGAAAAGTGGTGATTCGTGTCATAGGACCCAAACTCTGGTAAACATTATAGGATTCTTTAGGTCAATGATGCCATATTTTCGTTTATTTCTCTCTAGGAGCAAGATTAAACACATGGTTAAAAAAGAAACTGTTTTCTCAGATAAACTAGACTATGTTTTCTTACTTAACATCATAAATGAAGAAGAGAAGGAGGAAAGGGGAGGAGGAGGGGAAGGTGGGTGGGGAGGAGGGGGCAGGAGAAGAAGCAGGGAAGGAAGGTAGACTTTGCTGAGGTGCACTTCCCTTTCAGGACCTGCTGGGGTGATTCAGTATCCACTGCACCTCTAGCTGGTGGAGAGCCTGCTTCCCCCTAATGAGTTCCAGAGCCCATTCTTTATCGTCTGAAACTGTTCTGAGGCCTTCCAGGAACATCCAGCTGAACAGGTGGTACCTGCCTCTCAAGATACAGGAGAGAAGCTGAACCTCTTCCTCGTGTCAAGAGGAACAGGCATGGGATGGTGGGCCTGGCAGATGAGGCTTTGAGAGGAGATTCTGCGAACCCTGAGGAGACAAGGTAAAGCGGGGGTGGGGGGATGAGCTGTCTTAGGATGGGTTATTCGCCAAAAGACCTGAGGCACTGGGGAGCATGAATGTGACTTCTGGAGAAGTATTCCTAGGAAAAATGGATGAGATGGAGAAAGGGACCAGGAAGAGAAGGAGGCATCCCAAGGGAGAAATATCAACCAAAGTCCCCCACGGAGCCTGGCTCAACCCTGCAGGGATGCTCTGGGGTCAACGGAGGTCACATCTCAGGATTGTCCTGATCAGGCCCTGGGGCACCCGGCAGAGTCACTGATGAAAGGCTGCCCTCTGGGGAACTCACCTTCCAGGCACTTTGCCTCTAAGACGTGCTGGTGGGTTTTGGCAGGTCACAAAAAGATGCAGGTCGTACTCTATTTGGGGAATGAAAGCACATAGAGAATCTGTGTGCACAAGAGTGGTAAAAGCGGAGGCAGGGAGGCCTCCTTCTCTTCTTGTTTACTGAGTAGAACGGTGAAATCTTTGCCTCCCACATGGTGTATTATAGCGCTGTGAACAAGTGACCCAGCTTCTAAGTTAAAGGATTCGGTACATTTCTGTTTCTTCTGAAAATCTTGGTGGAGGTGGCCAGGACTTTATGATAAAAGGGCCTGGAGACTTGCCCCAAGGAAAGCGACCATGGGTTCCTCGATAAAGCCACCACTGCTTTCTATAACTGCAGAGTGGCCCCTGTTGAGAGGGAGTCCCCTGTCCGAGTCTGGAAGCCTAAGAGTCTTGATTTCCATGCCTCTCAGTCCATTAGCGAAGGACGGACTCTAGTAGGACAGAAATGTCCATACAGCTGGTTGTAATTATATGCATTCCTGAGTCTATATTTATATTTATCCCAGGTAGCCTTTGTTTATTTTTTTTTTTCCCTTCCACGCTGTTCTACTCCTTCATCAGATCTTCTGTTTACCAAAACCTATGTTGATGCTGTCTCAAGCAGTTTCCTTAATCAGGTTAGAAAGGCTGATATAAGAGTGGATAAGAGTAATACTAAAATTGAGCTACGGAATCTTTGCTGGAAGGATTCAGGAAATGTCTTTCTTGCTCCTTAAAGCAACCTCCCATCCTGCACCAGAGAAGCTGGCTCAGTGGCTTAGCACGCAGTGAACAGAGAGCGAGATGGTGGTCCCCATTGCCGCCCTGGGATTCTGTACAAAAGAATCTGTGTCCCGCAGCGTCAGGAGCATCCCATACCCTCTGGGATCAGTAACAAGAATCCCGAGTACACAGATTTGCAGCAGCTATGATTCTTTTGATGTTTCTTCCATAAGAGTCCATTTCTGAGCTGACTGTTTAGCAGAGCCATTTAGGCACCTGTGACAGAAAAGCCAGGAACTGTCTGTTGATACTAAGACTGAATGGTCTTGGTTAATTTATTTCAATAACCAACAATATGAAAGTGAGAGAGAGGGTAGAATCCCCTGTTGGACGATAACACGGGACTGCTTCATGATGCCTTACAGTGGCTCTCCTGCTGAGAGGAGCATGGCCTTGGCGATGGCTGTGGCACTGACGTAGCCTGAGTCCTGACTCATCAGTAGGGTATGTTATAGTGGTCATCAGCTGATAAAGGCTTCCTACTCAGAGATAAGACCTCTTAAGATTCCCATGCATATCTCTGCATATGAATCTTCATCACCATGAGGTAAACAGGAGTTGGGAAACATATTTATATTAATATCATTTTTCCATATATAATTCACCTAGGTAAGATGGAGCGTCTCTTTGATTGGGTAGCTCTTCCTGTATTTTGATCTTGATAAAAATCAGGCAACTGTCAATATGTGTGTGTGTGTGTGTGTGTGCACGCGCGTGTATGCTTGCACACGCACACATGTGTTCAGTCGTGTCCAACTGTTTATGCCCCCTGGACTGTAGTCCCCCAGGCTCCTCTATTCATGGAATTTTCCAGGCAAGAAGACTGGAGCAGGTTGCCATTTCTTACTCCAGGGGATCTCCCTGACCCAGGCATTGAACCCATGTCTCTTGCGTCTCCGGCATTGGCAGGTGAATTCTTTACCACTGTGCCACCTGAGAAACGACTATCAATATAGTGCTGAACTAATTAAAAATATTGTAATTACAAACAGACCTAATTCTTTCTCGTATCTTCTCTGATGAGGTGAGAAAGCAGAGCATGGGGCACCCAGAGGTCTTTGGGGAAGTGATAGTTTACATGCAAAGGGTGTTTTGATGGTGGTGTTATTCATTTAGGACCTAAATTGGGGGAAAGCAATATAAACAAGAGTTGTCAGAAGACAATCAGTATGACTTCCAGAAGTGGTCATATGTTATAAGAAATGATCATTATGTTGTTTAATTTATTAATCAGAGAGATAATATTTTTAAATCTAGAAGAAACTACCCTATCAGTTAAAAGGAGTGGTAACTTATTTGGAAATGAGAAACTTTTATTTTAAAAATGATTCAGAAATTATTTGGGTATTGTGTTTAGCAGTTTCTTAACTGTTTAAACATTTTCCTACCTTAAGACCTGGAATCCTCTTTGTAGAAAAATAAGAATATATGTTCATCAGAATATTTGCATGTAAATATTCATAGCAGTTTTATTTGAAATAGCACCCTCCCAATCTAAATGCCATCAACAGGTGGATGGATACAGAAATACTGTAAAATGAAATACTACTACTGCTTAGTGACATAAAAAATGTACTGGTACACTCAAAAAGGTAAATGAATCTTGAAATCTTTCTGCTGTGCAACAGAAGCCAGACACAAAAGACTATGTGTTATATAAACCCAAGGATATGAATCTATAAAGAAGATCAAAGAAACTTAATAGTGATGGAGTCAATTATCAATTACTCCAATTGACATCAATTATTCCATCTGATCCAAGATCCAATACAGTGGGGAGAATTACTACAAAGGGGCATGAGAACCTTTGGGGAGGGTGGAAATGTGCTAATTTGAATGTGATTGTGGTTATACAAATGTATACACTGATCAAAACTCATCAAACCGTATACTTCAAATGGGTCCTTCTTAAAAATGCAATTATACTTCGATAAAATTCATCAAAAAGACACATGCATTAAAGGAACAAGAAACATTATAAGTAAAATTTTAAAAAAATTTAAAAAGACACATGCATAATACAGGATATACTGTGAGGAGGTTCCTCTCAGCAGATCACACAGAAGTTTTATTACCGAGTGTTAACATCAGGCTGATGACACCAAGATTAATTTTCCATTAGTTTATCATTTATAACCTTTTTTTTTTGTTTAATAACATCAATAGGCCTTTACACAAATATATATTTAGGTGACAAATTTAAAGCCTTTAACTTTAGCTTCCAGATGTATTAACCTCATCAGAGAATGACTCTACCACATTGAACTCATCATCTTAATTGGAGTTTTACAAAGGTCAAATTTGTTGTTTATAGATAAGGATATTTCATTAGAGAGGTGACATTTACAGTTTTACTCCATGCAAGTAGAGGAAACAATCCCAGATGATTCACAGTATTGTCTAAAGTTCACAGAAAACAGTCTTTAAAAAGACATTAATTATTATAAATTCACTCAGTTAAATATATATGAGTACATTCTCATAAACTTAAATAGTGTGGAGACAATAATATTCTATCTCACTCCCTTGGAAATTTAGGATGTGTAAAATAAAATGGCTCTCCATAAAATGTAAGTTTAATATTTGTAATCTAATCTTACATAAGTATTAAAATTTATATTTTATACCTCATTGTGGTAAAATGTGAGAAGACACATTACTAAATTTTTAAATCCAAATTATCAAACCTATCTTTTTTTATCAAAGGATTTACCTTGATTAATATGTATATTACATAAACCAATACCTTATAATAAAGCTTTTATTTGCCATGTATCAAATGTTTATCAGAATCTTTTATTAGTGCATTTTTATGAGTATTTGTTGCCAGCTGATGCCTTTTGCTTTTCTTTGTTTCTTATCTAGCAATCTGCCATTGCCAGCACAGCTTGATTTTTTACGAGCTGGTAGAGAATTTTTTCTTAAAAGGCCAGCACATTTAAAGCATTAAAAGTTTGATTTCTTATCATAAACACCACAATGAATGCCAGTTGTTGTTTAAAGGAATTTCAAGAAAACTAAAAAAAAAAAAAGTTTGATTTCTTCCTTTTCCCTTTGAAATTCAAGATACTATGATTGGTTAATCTCCTCCAGAGTTAGACAAAGGAATATCAGAGATGTGCTTAGAAAGTATTTCAAATTACACATTCAAAGAATCTTAAACAAAGTTTGAGAAAGTTTTGTGTGTCCTCTCTTGATAGGGAACACGCCTTTTTGCCTGGAAACCAAGTTACTAAGGTTAGGATTTCAGAGTTTACCCTTCGAAGGTATTGCTCCTGATCATTTCGAGGGAAAAGCAAGAACAGGCCTAATTGTACAGAACCCATTGACTTCTCAGGATGTCAGGGGCTCGTTAAGGAGAGGTCTGTGGGCCCCAGACAGGCCACGCCAATGCCGTCTGTGTCCCCACTCCATCACTTTTCCAGGTGTGTCTACACAGCTGAAATGAAAGCCACGCCAGCCCTCTGCCCTCCAAGCCAGCCAAACTGTTCCAGTTTCCTTAAATATTTGCATATGCTTTCTCCGTTTTAATGGTAGATATGTGTGTATGTCTTGGATATTCACACAGTGTGGAAACTGGACAGATTCCCATGGTCAACGAAGGCCCAAGCATGCCGCCTTAAAATAGTCTGACCACAAATGGAAAGGGGCTATAATTATAAAGAGATCACTCATTGTCATTTTTTTCCCCTCTGTCAAGAGGGCTTTCTTACCTATAGACACACAAACGGAAAGCTGATAGCATCATAAAAGTCAGCCATTATGCCAAAGCCAATATAATGGGGATTGTGTGCAAGCTGCCCCTTCAGGGAAGATGAACCCAGGCAAGCAGTTTGAGGACTCTATGTTGCCCCACTTCCCTTCACCTCCCCAAGAAAAGATCAATAA